AGCAGCTTCCCAGAAGTTATTACTGAACTGTGAGCAGAGGAGAAACAGAATCGTAAGATGTGGCTACTTCTGTGCTCCTGAAATGGCAAAGGTATAAAGACCAAGCCACTTGAACAGAAGAAATCCTAGAAATATTGGGAATTAGACTGATAAAATCCTTTGTGTTTCTTAGCCTGTGAACAATTTAGTTTTGACAAATCAGAATTTTGATTTAAAACGTAAGGTAAGCATGAGTCATGAACTCTCTGTACTGGAATATGGAGCCATCTGCAAACCAACAAATATGCCAAATTAGCTCTCCTCTCCCACAGACACTCAGCACAGCTGCTGGTTAGAATCATGGCATGACTTTCTCTCAAGCCTCTAGAACACTTAGAGCTAAGGAGGAGCAAGAAAATACCTTACTCATTTTCCATATCAGCAACTACTGAAACTTACTCAGTGAACTACTAAACCATGAGTGGAAACATTAAGATGTTTAGAGCAAAGGGAAAAGAAGTGGTGTTTTAATTAAGTTTATTTTAATTGCTATTTAGGATACCTTAAAATGACTATCCAAGAGTACTGAGTGCTCTGAAATATCAAACTACTTTTCAGTGTCTTGCAGGGCGCATTCAAGCCCTGTGATTACAATTCTGTGTGATTTGCCTTGACATTATGTTACCCTTAGTGCCCAGGTCATATTCTTCCTGCATTAGCCAAGAGCTGTTGAAGAGTTAACAGCACTGTGCAAACACAGCGAGGTGCATTATCTTGGGAATTCTGCTGGCTCTGGAGCTCCCACAGGATGAGGAGATGCCATCTCCGTGGCAAGGCTCATTGTGCTGCAGCACAAGGCAAACACTGCCCCAGCAGCCAGGCTGGCAGCATTAGTGGGAGCTGATTGATCACCGGCACGGTGTTGCTGAGATATGGATTTGTATCTCAGCTTTTTATCACCGGGCCTTGCACGAGGCAGTTCCTTATTTACAGACTCTGCCTCTATTAAGTGACATTATTAGGGACTACTTTTGTTTAAGTGCCTCAAAGGCTCAGCACATTGGTGGTTTACGACATACAAGCTGTTTGATTCTGATGGTTTAGCCCTCACTTTTTCACACTGTAAATAGGGCCTGCAGCACAAGAACATATGGTAGGTAAAGAAATTAAAGCTAAAGTAAATGGCATTAAAGCAAATTCAAATACAGCAATAAGATACTCAATCTGAATTATAAACCTGTATTAAGACATTTTAAAACAGGAAATAAAAGCCTAAATATGAAAAATTACCTCTCCGCTGTTCTGTTTTTTTTATAAGGACCATTTCAGGGGTTGTGATTAATTTCCTTATTAAGCTTCCTTAATCCCTATACAGTTAAATGAATAAAATAGGATATCCCTTAATAAGTGAAACTATTTCTGAATATAACATTAGTTGTTTACCTTTTAAACTTCTGGGTTCATACCACATTGCCTCTGATACAGAAAAAACACATTATGCATTCTTAAATGTTTATTACAGCAAATACACTTGTTCCAACTTACAAATGTACATTTAGCACAAAACCAAAAAAGAACCCTGCAAAACTGCCAGCCTAATGCTCACATTCCATATCAGATATCAAAAAAAAGGAAAACTACCTTTTCCTAACTTTGTAATACTATAGCAGCTTATTCAAAAAAGGAAATTCATTATACTTTCATGTAAATAGGAAGACTTCCCTAATTATTGTTCTACAGATAAACTCCAATTGTATGTACTTAAATTGTAATTTCAGAACATGCCTAATTTATACCACTCAGTTTTATATGTGGCATTAGTTCCATCAGCCTGTAATCCAACTCCATCAAAGACAGGTTTTTGATACAGCTTTAGCTTTAATGTACTCTGACAAAAATAATTTCCTCTTATGATGTATTCCTTCAGTTAAATAGAGCAGCAAGAGTATTTCAACTGCCACTGCTACTGTGTATTTCTACTTAGCTGAAATGCCTCTTTTCAGAACAACTTATTCATCCTATGTATGGGGTTTTTTTTGTTTGTTTCTTTTCATTATAGCTTGGAAGGTTGGTTTGTTGTGTTTGGATTTTCTTTTAATCTACAAGTATCTCCTTGGTTGTTTGCAGCAATAATGTATCTCATCTGTGTAATTTTACAGAGGACAAATTGTAAACAGAGTTCTCCATTCTCCTACCTACACACAAAGGCATCCTGAGAGGTATAATCATGAATGAACCAGCACCTCAAGTAGGATATGATTTTAGCATTCTCTTAGGCTTCAGGGTAAGAATTGCGTGTGACAATGCTTCTAAGCACAAAAATCCCAAATTTTAATGCTGTAAAATATGCCAACACTACCAATGACACAGTCAATACAGACCAAGCACAATTCCTACTAACATGGCTCAAAGCATTCTCCTTTTAGGGCAAATCTAAAGCAGGTGCTTACAGGTCATTTCCCCCTCAGCTGCATGAAGTACATTGTATGGCCATTACTCTGCCATCTCCAGGAACTGGCTAGCTCAGAAAACCTATCCACTAGTTAGCAACCAGCAGCACAGACTGAAGCAGGGGTCTGAGCTGCCTAATTCGGCAATATTGCTGGCATCTGATATTCCCATTTACTGTGTAAGTCTGCAGACACAACAGAAACTTCCCAAAATAGGAGACAAGCCCTCAAGGAAAGCTGAGCAGTTTGCTATAATAAAAACAAAGACTGCCCTGACCTTACACACTTTGGAGCCACAGCATTCACACACCACTCAGATTTCCTGTTTGAAAAAAGGCAGTTAATAGTCAAATATAAAGTGCAGAACTCATGACACTTTCCAGGCGTTGCCCGCTTCAGGAGTGGCACCTTCCCTGGCAGACAGAACCCCCCCAGCAGTACTCCGGCCATTTGGAACCACAGCTAGGCCTTTCCTCAGCTTGGACAATCTTTTTTTTTCAAAAACCCACCTCAGGCAAGTATCAACAAAAGAGCCAGTTCTCTGTACATCTGCTGCCATTATTTGCTGTGAGGAATTCTGTGTTTGAGCTAAAAGTGCATAGCACAGTGATTCATTAAAAGAAGGAATTTGATGAGGCAATTGCCTAAACATAAATACATATCACGTTTCCCCTCCCCAACAATTTAGTTAGTGAGTAATCCAGCCTCAGCTATGAACATAAAGTACAGATACCCACATTGAGAATTTCCTCTTCTGTAAAGGAAGTGTCTCCTGAACAGATGGAAGGACCTACCTCTTTACCAAGCACTAAAGGTAGCAGGAAAACAGGTATCAGGCACAAGAGCACTTCCATTTAGATAATTTCTCCTCCTAGATACAACTTATGGTGTAAGAATTAAAAAAGCTTGTCACCTCTGTGTATTTCCACACATTAGCCTTTATGAAAACAGGAAAGGTACTCTGCATTCCCCATCTGCTATTTCTCCTCATGTTTTGGATTAGAACTGGAGACAAGAAATCCTGCACTAGGGCAGAAATTGTTCTGCTGAAAATTCACTTGGTCACTTCAGTGTTTCCAGAAAAGCTGACATCCTGTTTTAAGTACAAATCTTTCCTGAACTTCCTTCTCAAGATTAAGACAAGTGAGGAAAAAGATGCTCAGAGAAATTCAGTTTGTGTCTTCTGTCAGTGTACATAGAATTCAGGTTGTTCTCCTCTGGGAAATGTGCATTCCATCACAATTATGAGCTCCACCGGAGATAGAGGATTCCTTTAACTTGGTGAGAAAGGTGGGTTTATGTTCTTTGGGAGTTTTGGTAGGTTTTTCCTTGGTTAAATGGTTAACACAAAATGATTTGTGGAAAAACTAAATGTTTTGTCCTCCCCTTCAAAATGCAACAGAGAATGAGCTCCTTCTGTATGCTCACAAGTGAGCAAAGTATAAAAACAGCAGCTCAGTGGCACTGGCATTACAGCAGAAGTGCAGATTAGAGGCAGGTGCCCAAGGTGTCTCGCCTCAACACTGGAGTGAAAGGAACAAATCCAAACCCACTGAGCAAGGTGCAACTCATGTCCTTACTTCCTGGTGCTAAACAAGAATTTTTACTTTAAGTAAAGACAAACTCCACTTCAGCTGCTCAATACAAATGAAGCAATGGTAGCTGGAGGCTCCCTGGTGAAGGTGGCTGCCTTTATGGAAGCCAAATTCTTACAGGATTTCTGTATCACACACTGTAGCTGCCTGTAAGGACTGTTCCATAAAATTCTCCACCTTCTCAGCACAGGGCTTTGCCCACATGCTCATTCTTCTTATTCTGAGGATGGAGTGGATATGAAAGGACAAAATCACAGCTTTGTTTAAAGATTCAGAACACCTGGGAATAGCTGATGGTTCCACAAGTGCTGAATACAGGTACCAGTTAAACACACCGCTGGGACAAGAAAAAACCTACATTTTTCTGTGATCATCATTCCTGAGGATTTTTCTCATAATAGCCTAAAAAGTAGTTGCTAAAAACATTTTGTCACTGATCTTCCCAAACTTCTGTGAAGCCTATCTGCATAAGGACAAATGAACATTGAGATTATTTTTCCCTTTTGATTGCATCACCTGATATTTTGGCCAAGTTACCATACTGAGGAACATGAAAATATTGCTACATTGAAATAGAGCTACACTAAAGTATAATTTTGTAAGAAAAATCTGCAAAGCTATTGAAGAGTCAAATATTCACTTCTTAGCGTTTAAAATACAGGAACAGTCTGCCTGAACACCAAGCACCTGCATCTGTCTTTTGCACTTTATACAGAGAATTTTAGAGTATTCTTCCATAAAGCACAGCAGAAATATTATCTGTCTACAGTTCCTACGGAAACAAAAGGCAGAAAATGACAGCCTGGCATACACAGTCTAAAAGTACAACTTGTTACTGTACATATTCAAGAATAATAATTTATTCATGTCATAATTTATTATTTATTACGATCCTCAAATATTGCAAAACCTTTACAGACAATCAGGCCTACTTAAGTAATCATTAATTTACATAGGAAGAAACTCTAATACTTACATAGCTGTGACTCTTAAGGAAATCTGAAGGGTTGCTTGTGCAGACTTTATCCCCTTCCAAGCCAATTACTCTTTTACAGATATTTGATTTGGGGTCATTTGGGCTTTTCACAATTACAATATCTCCTCTGAGAGGAAAAAAACAAACAAAAACAAACAGAAGAATTCTAATTACAAACTATTTGGCTAAGTACATGAGCATCCATGTATCTCCTCCAAAAATATTCACACATATTAAAGATAGTCCATTGTGCTGAAAATTCTTGCGTACAATTTTGGCTTCTTCAGTTTTACTCAGGTGTAATTTCACAGAGTTTTAAAACTGTTATTGAGATCATTTATGTAACATTTAAGACTACAACCTGAGAACAGTAATACCCATAGCTGGTTTTCAAGACCAAACTGCTTAAAGAAGTTACATTCACTCAGTAGAATCATTTAGGGGGAGGAAAAAAAGGATTTTTTTTCTATTATTTGGACAAAGCTGTGATAGTGACAACAGACTAAACCCAAACTGAATTTTGACAAGTTGTTCATTGGGCTGTTTGTGCTGGTAATTTTAAGATCCTTTAGACACAATGAAAAATTACAAGTTAGAAGCAGAAAAGTACACTAAAAGTAAAGGGCAGAATGTGATTATTGACAAGCCCTGGCAAAGGGAATGCCAGATGTGCTCTCAAGAGAGCAGCGTACTTTCGAATGCAGTAAAAGTGGCGGCTGAGGTTCTCTGAAAAGACAACATCAGAGTTCTGAATGGTTGGTTCCATGGAAGGTCCAGAACACTGCAAATGAAAAAGAAAGGAGAAAAAAAATCACTATTTCAAACCACTTCTACCTTAAACTTATAGTCAAGTGATATGGTAATAAATTAGAAAAGGTTGAATGTAGAGAACTATCTCTACATTCACAGAAGGAATGTGTGATGCATTTAATAGCTGAGGGGAGCCTCCAGAGCATCTCTAACTGCTACAGCTCCATATTTCCTTGGGATTGGTCCTGAACTGCACCAGGTGCTACAGGCTCTTACTGCATCTCCAGGAAATTTTTAGGATCAGTGCTCAAAGCCCTACCAGCTTACCCCTTTCTCTTCTCTGTGACACAGAATCATCACAGAAGCTGCAAGAGCAGCTCACAGCCAAACTCCCCCATGCCCAGCAGCAGTATCTGCAAGGTTAAGGACCTGGGGAGGAGGGGCAGGAGCATAAAACACTCAGACACTTGGCCAGAGTGTGAAACAAAGACATTTCCTGTCAGTGACTCCAGTGATTTTTTTAAAGGATGGACTCTGTGCAAAAGGCTTAATCAGAGTTTCCCATTTACTTCAGTGATGCCTCAAGCAATAACACATCAGAAAACGTGAATGACTAAAGTATAAAGAACTTTCACAAGGGCCAGACCTGCTTCCCATAAATTGTGTTAAATGCTTCAAAGAAAATTAAGAAACCTGAAATATTGGCATCATCACATAGAAAAATGTCAGTATTACAGTTTTATCTCCTTTTAAATGTCATGAAAATGAAGAGTTACCACAACAATTCCTCCAAGGTACTCAAAGGCACAGTGTGCTATGCAGCCATATTGCACCGTGTACCCCAGAAATCGGAAGGTTTTTCCTAGGGCATTGCGAAGCATCCTACAGTGGGATGGTGCCCAGCTGGCTCTACAGCAAAACAGAAGAGGATCATTCATTGGAGAGCAAGCAATCCAACATGTACAAACCCATCTTTTGTGTGTAGCAGGTAGACAAGATTAAAAACACCCAACAGTGTAATGATACTAACAAATAATCAGACAGACCTGAAGAGGTGCATAGAGAAATAAGGCATCAGGTTTTTCTGTTCTCACTGCAGCACAGTGCTATAACTTCTGCAGCTGTAAACATCTTCTGACTCCCCCTCCCCAAATATTCAAGTCCAACTCTGATTAGAAGATCCAATTCCTGCAATGCTAATCTAAATAAAATGTTTCCTTATCACAGTTTGGTGGTTACACTTAAGGAAGTGGAAAACAGATCTAACGAAGTAACTGAAGCAAAAAAGTCTACATTCTGCAAAAAATCTGCTCCCCTTAAACGCAGTGTTGCCTTCTCGTGAACTAAAACCACTGCAAGATTTCCCTCTTTTACTAAGATGGGTCAATAGAGTTTGCTGAGCAAATACAGTATGTTGAAAAGAAAAAAAAGGAAAAATGCTGTGTAAAACATGCGCACTTCAAAATGAAATAATCTTCTCTACATTTCACAAATTAAAGACAGGAATTTAAAAGTGCATAGCTTTATTGTCACAACCCTGACTAGAATTTAGTGGGAGTTCTGCCTGACTACATTCAAAAGACAACCATTATTGGGAGTAAACACTCTCTAACAAGTTCATTTCCTGGTTCCAAAAGAGACCATACTTTTTTTATCTACACAAACTTCTCTGGACTAAAACAACTGAAACCAAGCTGTGATTCATCATTCACTATCTGACCATTTTCACAGTAATGTCCTGAAATACAATGGCAAATGGAAGTCTTGAATTGTGTCAGGGAGATGCAGCACCCAGCACGCTGCAGGACACTGCAGGAACTGGAACAGCTCCCCTGGAAGGGGAATGCACTTTCAGCAGAATCCATTCTGGTGAGGCACAGAAGTGGTTGGCTCTTCTCAATTCAGTGCCCCAACCAATGCCTTACTCAGGCCAGACACACTGAGAGCCCAGAACTGTGACACAGGTCACAAAAGGAAGGTGGAGGCACAGCAGATGAATCTGAGTTGCAGAAGTAGGTGAATGCACAACTATGTTTTGAGAGAAGTCCGTCATCAATCCTTCTTAACAGCACTTGCTAGAAAGGAGCCTCACATTGATTCTCAGTTCAGGGAGAAAGAAAAATACTGCAGAAGCATCCTCTATTTTTGCCCCATGGTATTCAGAAACCTTATATTAACATATTAAGATAGTAGAGAATTTAGGCACCTGTGGGTATTGCAGGTAAAAAGGCATTTACAAATAATGCATTACAATGCCCAGAGTCCACAGATCAAACTGGGACAAATAAACAGTAACAACATCCAGAGAACGTGCAAGCCTCCCATGCCAACAGCTATCAAGTTGTAACTAAAATACTTTTATTATGAAACTCCAAACAACTGCTAAACATGTCAGAAAACAAGTTTCAAAGTGATTGCAAGCCATTTCCTTTTGGGCTTTGGGTGACACAAACAAGGATAGTTACCCTGGACACGTTTCCCTGGGATGCTTGTGAGTAGATTTGGGAGCTACTCAGGGAAACCCAGGACTCAGAGTGAGCTTTGCTTGCTGCCAGAGCTGCCATGAAAAAAAAAAACTAACCACAAGGACAGAACATGAGTGAAGAGCTCTCAAATTTTGTTCCCAGTTTCCTTAAAATAAATTCTTAACTCCCGAGACATAGATTTCACCAACCTCTTCTTATAAATTTAGTACAAAGGATTTTTTTAAATGCTCAAGCTTATCAGATTTTATGATAATGATCAAATAATTCTTAGCTTTACACAAAAGCTTTTGAGTGCTACTCAAGAAACTAATTTCAAATGAAGACACATATATACCTGGATTATACAGTCTGACCCTGGCAAGGTACCTCCTGAGGATGGGAGGGTGTTTTAAATGTTAAGGCTCATCTTTAGACATCTAATATTCATTCCAAAGAACTAAAATCTTAAAAGTTTCCATGTCATTTTAAGTAATAACTTCTAGTTAATAACTGGTTGTAGCAAGTCCAGTTAAAAAAAAAAAAACAGACCAAACTAGTTTATTAAAAAAAAAAAACAAACAAAACCACACAGAAATAATTAACTTCAGCATCATTAAAATATAACTGTTAAAAAGTATAATTGTTAAAATATAATTGTTTCCTCTGAAAACTTCATATCATTACATTTTTGAAACAATGTCATACTGTTGATCACAAGAAAGTAAACAGCTGAACAGTTTTCCACATGACAATTTTAACACAAACTACCATCAGCAGGCACCTCCACCAGATCAAAAATAAGGCCATTAAGCACAATAAAACAAATTATTTAAGTCAGAGGCCCCTTGAAAACTGAATGGCTCTGTAGTATAAACATCCTTATTGCAGAACTAATGGCCTAAAACCTGTTGTAATTACTTCCAGGTACTACCTACTATCATATAGCAGGTAGCTGAAAAATTTCTACTGAAATCAACATTGGTTAAAAAAGGTCACACATCCATATTTATCACAGAGAACACAATCTCATTATCTTACCACAACTGTAAAGTTGCAAAATACACAGCAAATAAAATGTAAAATGTAATTACTAGTATCTTCTGTTCCCTTTTCCTTCCATAGCCTGTGCTTTCATCACTCGGTTTTTGTTTGTTTGTTTATAAAATTAATCACAGCTAGCAGGGTAGAAATCACTTTGAGCCTCATGAATGACATCCAAGAGATGGGAAAGGATTAGTTCTCAGTTGCTGCCAGTTATAGCGCCAGGTGGCTTTTTCTGCAGCGAAGGTGTTACCGATAATCCCATTACATTGGTACTAAATCTTGCAGACATCAAAATTATCACCAAGGTTCCTTTTCATCCCATCCTTTCCAAATGACTGGAAGTCGCTTCACCTGAAAGAAGTCAAATCCACATGCAGCTGCTGTTTTAGCAGCCAGCGGACTCCCTGAGAATGCCAATTGTGATCCAATTTCGCTGTGCTGGTGGCCCCCTATTCCCTGTCCAATAATACATCTGTTAAAAAATCCTACAGCTACAAATCAAGTTTAATCCTACCAGGGACCTCATGTTGGTCTTGTCTTCCAAAAAGGCAGCAGGTTTTGCCGTCTATCTCTGCCAGTGTCTGGGGAATACTCTTTAAATCCCAGCTCTACTTAGAAGAATAAGCTAAGGATCACAAAACATGACCTCAAAAACCCTGATATGACTATATTCTGACCCAGAGGCATTCATTCTAGGTGAAGATTAGAACTTTGCATAATAAGATTACACAGCAAGTGAATGATATCAAGGGACTATCCATATGCAGCCGCCTGGTTTTCTATAGACAGCCTGTGCTCTGCAATATGCAGTGCAGACGAAACAGAGCTTGGGCTTTCTAGCTGAAATAAAATAGATTCACATAAATTAGTTGGCCATTTCCAGATTCCTAAATCCCCTATTACATCTTTTATTGACAGCTCCTGTGAGGATAGCACAAATGGTATTCTCTTTGTACTCCTTGCTTCTGTAGAGCTCGCACTCTGAGGGAAATGTACATAGGTTGTCTAGAAATTAACATCTTGTTTGCTGTAATCTTGGATTACAATTATTGTGTACATAATAAAATTAGAAAATCAATGAGCAGATTTATCATTTCCAGAAAATCAGGAATTTTTAAATACAGGAATTTTTAAATACAGGAAAATCAAAGTTGCAGGCACTGAAAGTGTGACTAAACAATCACTGCATTTAGCACTAAATAGATTTTTCACTTTCATAAAACATTTCCGGTCACATTTGCTTTATATAATGTTTCCCAATTCTGGAATTTCATTGAATACGTAGTGAGAGATTATCAGTTTTCCTTCCATAACAGAAACTCTTCTCCTAACACTCTCCACTTCTAACCAGACACCTTTCTCTACACATAACTTGCACCATCTCTTTCCCATAGAATTACCCTGAGATTACTTTAAAAAACAATCCAAAAACCCAAACCAAAGAAAAAACTGCACGCTGACTAGGCCATTTAAATATTTATGTTTGAGCTGTTATTTATATTAAACTATTATTTTAAAACTTCTGCATGAAACTGAGGTCACATATGTAGAAGAGCGAAGGGTGTGTAACTTTTTTTTGGATGCTTCCCATATTAGATACACAATATGCTTTAAATAGATATACAAATATACAAAATGCTTTAAATATTCTAATGTCAATCTGAGGATTCTGAACATCTAAAGCAAAATAAAGAACAATTTTCAAAAGATCCCTCTGTGATGGAGATCAGAAGAATTGCTTTTTATTTCCAGCTGTTGCTTTACTCTAGGAGAAACACTGGACTTGGTCTGGCAAATGTGAGCAAGCTTGCTGATATTCTGGAAGAGATTGCTTTTTTACACATTATCTCTACTAGGCACTGGCAGTTTGTCTCCAACAAGAGCTCCTTCAGCTCCTTCAGCTGCTGATGTCAAGCTGACAAGGAGTTTAATCCTGTAAACATAACACAATTGGCTGGTGTTAAATAACCAGAGACTACAGACAAGAATGAGCAATTTCCCAACACAGATTTCAGGTAGTTCTCACTGGTTCTATTTACCTTTGGGAAGCAGCTCCTAACACTTGCACAACCCTGAATAAAACGCTGTTTTAATGGCCAGATGCATTCCAAAGCTTGTCCTCCTCCGCAGCTCCATTCACTCCTCTTTGCTGAACAGCGAAATCCAGACAGCTGAGCAAAGACATGGTCATACATGGGCCTCTGAGGGATGCCAAAATATTCACTTTACAGTCTTCTGCAACAAGGTCAAAGTCAGGACAAACACCAAAGGTCTGGCAGACACCATAGTCCCGTTCCTGGTAACTGAGAAAAACGGGCTGTGCCTATGTCACAATGGTCAAATAACAACACGTGTTTATCTTCAATTTCAATACATTCACTTCCTTCAGACACAGACACATCAACATTGAAAATTCATTTCAATTTAGTAAGACAAAGAGTTACAAGCCTAATTCTCACATCAGGCACTAAAAATCTACAACCCTACAGAACATGAAGTTGCCCATGGCTCTCATGTCCTCTGCACTTCCCAGCTGACACATCTTGTGGAAATATGATTTTGGAAATACTACTCAAAGCAGTGAAGGGAAGAGGGATAAATAACTCCCCTGTGCACTGAGAACTAAAAAGGCTGTTTACTTAAAATATTCTGTCATTACAAAGAGGATGGTTTGCTGGTAAAAAACAGCAAATCCAACAAAAACACCACAAACAAAAACCTAAACCCCCTTCACATTTCAGTACACCATCAGCAAGACTATTTAGAAAAAACACAGTTGTCTCCATCTTATTATCAGTGTTGGTCTCAGAGAGAATGCCATCATTGAAGAGTGCTCCACAGTAGTTTAAAAAGACAGAAGTCACAAAGTATCAAATCTTTAAACAAATAGTAAATCAAACAAATAAACAAACCATTAAACATCTGAAAAATACAAAAGCAAAAAACAAGATCAATTTTAGCACTGGCAGAAAATAGCAGTGAAGAATCCTTCTGCATGTTTATCAATACTCTCCAGTTATGAGCATCACCTTCTAATGAAATAGCTTATGCACACTCTGCATTAAAAAAATGTGTTAAAACAGGAGAAAGGCAACACAGTCAAACAAGAGAGTCCTCAATATTTACATTTTCAAATTACCTGAATAGAAGAAAAATGTAAATCAAGTGCTTATCACTGCTGTTATTCTGCAAAAATGTTGACCACTTTCCCAAACTGCTTTTTAGTTACAATGTTCTAAATACACACATGTACATGGACTCAAGGACTTTTTCTCAGAGCAAAATGGTACTTCAGGAGAGTTTATGAAGTAAAACAATAACTATAATCAGTATTTCTGTTCATTGCTCAATAAAATTTAATAGTTATTTCTGAGCTGTTTTATGTGTAAAACACAAGTTCTGTAAGGTCTTCTCCACTTAGAGATACAAGTATAAAAAAGTTCCAAACATCAATAGATGAGTGCAATGATATTCAGTCTAAGTTAATCCCCAGACATCCAAATCCATGAATAAAAATTCATCAGTTTTAAATACACTGAGCCTATTAAGCAAGAACAAAAGCATATGCACAAAAGAGCTTTTAATATATTTCAAAGCCCACAAGAGCCACGGTCTCATTAAAATTATAAATTACACAAACATGGAATAAAGATTCAAACTGCAGTGCAGCTAAGCAGATTACAGCAAACCCCGCGTTCCATATGATAACACACCATGGCCCTCCCAGATGGGGGCTTGGAACAAAAAGGCCATCACTGCAGCTAGGGAAAACCTCCTTGTGATCTCTGCTTTCTGTTCAGCAGATGACAGCCAAATAATATGTTGATTATTCTGTTTGTGCTGCTAAGCTTGTAAGATGGAATAAAAGCGATATGATCTATTGTGAACTCCATGCTAATGTGTTGCTCCACTCATAAATAATATACTTGAATTTATTCTGAAACTATCTTTTTATCTGACTTCCAGGTTTTAAATGCATGAACTAAAATAGAAAGCTAGCATAAGCTATTATTTAATTTGATGGTTTAAAATAAAAGATACAGCTGACACAATAATAAATGTGAAAACTGACTACTTAGTGAATCAAATAAGTAGAGGTGCCTTTCTCCAATTTAGCAAATGATCCTAAGCTGAGGTGCTGAGCATGCTCTAGCCCCACAAACTGCACCCTCACTGATACCAAACACATCACCAAGCAGAGCCTGCATGGCTCATTTTACCACACACACCCAGCCCAACGAGGACACAAGTACTGGTGAAACAGAAAAGCAGTACAGAAACAAGCACGGTATAATTTCATTAGTACTGCCTCCCTGAATTGCATTCTTTAAAACTATTTAGGGTTTTAGGAAGTGCTAAGATGTCATTTCATCTACATTTGCTCATCTGGTTTGTTCCAAAAGTATGGAACATGGCTTGCCCTTTCTTCCATAATACATTGCTTTTCTAAAAGGAAAATCAGTGACTGTCATACAGCTCCTTTCACAGACACTTTGTGCATGCTAAGAAAATTGATGATATTCCTACAACTTAATGTTTGTGAATTTCAGTTCTGTGCCAGAAATGTTAAAAATTCTATGAAAAAATCATTGTGGCTTGGCAATAGCATGAGAACACCAAGATCAATGGCTCACACTTCTTGGACCAATGGAAGCACCATCGAGAAAAGGTGGGAGCATGAGGCTCCAAGAATGTGTGAGCCTCACAACAGTTTTCACAGAAATATAAGAGCAGGGTGCAAAAAAAAAAAAAAGCTCCATTACCTTTCTCCCTCTGCTAGGGACACAGTCACAGCTGTAAATCAGAGAAATATTGAAAACATGCCTGCTGAAGAGACACAGGTATTCTAATAAACCCTGGGGCTAAAACTTCAGATTAATTACCCCCTCACTGCAATGAAATAAGACATTCTGTTCTTTACACACAAAACCAAGACAGATCTTTGAAACAATTAGTGACGCTCACATTTCCAACAGCACCCACAACTGAATTAAACTTACAATTCATTTTCAAGATTATTGTTCTGCAGGTTTCAATAATATTGTGTGTCCCACACTGAGTTATTTTGCAGTAACCACTTAGAGGACTGTTATTTCTAGGACCCTGATAACATTTTGGCTTCCCTCAATCTGTTTCAATGTCTACAATTTTAAATGTTGATTCATTTTTATTCCTTTTACATATATTATCTCACACAAAATGCAATTCAGTACAACGGGGGGTGAAATTGGAAAAAATGGCAGCCCTGCTCCCAGATAGATGCTCCTGAAATGGGGTTCACACAAAGAACTTTTGGTATGGAATTGGCAGGCTCAGTGTAGGAAATGGAAGCTGAATCCACTGAGATAAAGAATAATGATGATTTGCTAAAATACAGCCTGGCTACAAAAAAAGGCCAGACATTCATTATTTTATTTTATTATTTCACCAAAACATTATTTCAAATTTGAAACAATTTAAATTTCCCTAAGTAGCTAGTTGTGAATCTGGCTTTACAATGAGTTTTACTACATTGCTTGCTTGTCTTATATTCAACTTTATAACGCACACTGAAAAAATCTCAATTTTACTTCCTGACTACTTAAAGGCCAAAATTTTCTTCATCTGCCCCTCAGTGACCGAATTAGTTTACCATTCCACAGCTGTGAATCTGGCTTTACAACGAGTTTTACTGCATTGCTTGCTTGTCTTATATCCAACTTTATAACGCACACTGAAAAATCTCAATTTTACTTCCTGACTACTTAAAGGCCAAAATTTTCTTCATCTGCCCCTCAGTGACTGAATTAGTTTACCATTCCAGTCAGATTTTTTGAAGAGCAAGCAATACACATCAGTACAGAATTATTTACTGCAGCACACCCTGGCCCATGCCCCACTCTGTCGATGGCCAGAGTGCTGTGAAAGTCAGTGGGAGCTGAAAAATCAAGCTGGCATTCCAGTCTGGAATATCTATGGGAGACAATAACCAAAAAACATCATTGGCCAGTACACGGAAACCTGAGGTTCCTTCCATGTTTGTGGGTCTCACCAGGAAGTATGAGAAATACAAGGAAAATAATCTCTATTAAATACAGCACTAATCTGTATTATGCTCTAAATTAAACTCACAATTCACTTTCAAGATTATTATTCTACAGGTTTCAGTAATATAATATTGTACAGTTCTGAAATTACAGAAACATGAAGTAACTTTTAAAATAATTTCTTGTCTTCAGCACATACTTTAACTCACATCTCTTGATTTATTTCTATTTTGAAAGAGCTGTTTAAATTTGACACAGGTTTAAATTTCTTTCCTGTTGCTCAGGATACCCACAAGGATGAATTTAGGTAACATCCAGACGCTTTCTGAATAAGATATTATGTTTACTATAGTATCATACAACTGGCAAGTCCTAAACAATCCAAATACTTCTTTCATTTGCCACAGACTGACTCAATAAGCAGTCTTTAAGCTTTTTCACACTGAAAAAAACCCAGGTCTTTTGGTGTCAGAGCTTCCAGGATTAAACATTCTTTCCAGTTGTTGGCTCATAGCCTGAAGATCCTGCACTTTCAAACTTATCCCATTCTAGCTAGTTCAAAGATCAGGAAAATGAAGCCATCTTCTTTGCAGCCATAATCCACGACCCATGCTGTTAGATACTTAAGAACATCTCAAAAGCAAACTACCTTGTTTCAGCTGCCAGCAGGAGCTCAGCAGGGCGTGGCTCACATGACTGCAAGCCCAGCCTGGTCAGGTGACTCGCTGGCTAATCTGATTTGGTGCCTATAAAACTTTAATCAGTACAGTCTAATACCAGCACATTCCACAACTGATGAGCGAAGCAGCCTGGAGATGGAACAGCAAACACTAATAAGATTATGAATTAGAACTGCTACTGGGATGTGGTTTTCTGGTTCTCTATCCCACATGTAAATCCTACAGGAAAATATCACTGAAAACTGGTCTGGCAGACATACATAAACGAAATAAACTTGAAATAAAATGGGCTGGCGTTTTATTCCAAAATGAACAGCATTTTGTTCAAAGACAAGAGCATACATGAATCTTCTGCAGCACAATTAAAATGCAGCAAAGCCATTGATTTGAAAGCAAATAGAACACATCCAGGTGTAACACCCTGTTGTTGAGGAACACTCCTGGTGTTAACTTGCCCCGCAAGCCCAGAAGGACAAACCACGTGGTAAAGAGAGACCACGTCAAATGTGCTTCCTCTGCTCAACCACAATTATCCAAAGCACACCTCAAGGGCTGCTATTCTGGGGACACCAGGATTTTCCCCAAATTTGTAGGCTACAGCTTTTGAAGAGTATTATCAAATGCACTTGCAGATCAAATGTGGTTTTCTGGTTCTCTATCCCACACAGAAAAATATCACTGAAAGCAGGTTGGGCAGACATACAGGTTTGAAATAAAATGGGCCGGCATTTTATTCCAAAATGAACAACATTTTGTTCAAAGACAAGAGCATACATGAATCTTCTGCAGCACAATTAAAACCTAGAAAAACCATTAATTTGCAAGAAACACAACAGAACACATCCATCAATAATGCTGCCCACACAATGCTGCTGGTGTCAACTTGCCCTGCAAGCCCATAAGGCCAAACCACATGGTAAAGAGAGGCCATGTCAACTGTGCTTATCAACCACAAATATCCAAAGCACACTTTAAGGACTGCTGTTCTGGGGACACCAGGATTTCTCCCAAGTCTATAGGCTACAGTTTTGGAAGAGAAATGTCAAATGTTGTTGCAGATCAAATTCCAAGCATAACCTTTTCCCAAATGTTCCGACTGCTCTCTTGCTTACCATTGTATTCTCTCCATTTTTTTTTTTCCTTAGGGAACTTTCACCCAAAATCCTCTTAACCCATCTTAGAATCTGCATTTTGCACAGACAAGTAGCTAAACTGGACAGCAAGTTTGCAATAAGAGGAGAGAGAGCTTGATTTCTCCACAGCAGTTAGGATTTGCAGTTAAAACTGACATCCCCATTTGACCAGGTCTATGTGACAACATGCGACCTGAGAGGAAGGAAAGTTGATATTCTACAGTTTGAGACATCCCAAAATAGACCAAAGATGTTTAAACCTCGCCATTCTCCAATGAGCTGAGTAGGACCCCTGTCCACTGCAAATTGTCCATAGCTCAGCTGACAAGAAATAACTTCCTAAGACACTTCCTGAGCACTGGAAATAATTTCAGTGTTCCTTAGTTTCTCTGCATTTCAATTCCACACCTAGAGCAGGAATAGCAGGACTTCTCTACCTCATAATGTGCATTTGAGGATGAGGGTAATGTTTAGAGCTACAATTTCTGTGGTCTTGCTTTCTGCCAGACAGCAGATCCTAATGGGATCTTCTACAATGACTGGAAATTCACCTTTGCAAAACTGGACATGTGAACATAAGCAAACCTTCAGTATCATTCAAAAAGGGTGAAAAAATATCGTTATTCCTGAAAATGAAACATCATTGATTTAAAAATAATTAACTAAAAATAAATATGAAATTAAACCTCCATTAAATTAGTTCCTTCTCTGAAATTTATCTGATATACAGGTAAAGTCAGATGTTGTAAGCAGTATTTCCATAAGCACATAAGCAGTTGGAAAGCTTTATTGTATTAAAATGTTAACATCTGAAAAATCCCCCACCTACTGAAAAATAGCTATTTCCACTCATTATCTAAATCAGCAGGATTTTAACTGCACCCAGCAGATTAAAATGTGACTGGGAATAAATGAACACCACAACAGAACTACTGCTACATTTTAAAAGTTCAGTTCTCATACTGAAAAAATTGTATCTACTTCATTATTTTTGTTATACATGAAACAGTCTCTCAAGCTGTTACAATGTAAGACACCATTTCTTTATATTGGGAAGGATATCTACAAAAAAAAATTTGCAACGAAAATATTACTTTATGTAAAAATCCATTTTCTGTGTAAAAATCCAGTTTTTATTCTGAAATAAGTACAAAGTTCCCAGGTGGCAAGAGCTGGGAGGCTGGGCTGCCCTTCTCCATGCAGCACCAGCTCACAGCATGGCACAAAATGAAACTATTGAGAAAGTCAATCGATAGCTCCAAGTCAGGTCAGCGAGCTCAACCAGCCCAAGGAGGGAACTGAGCAGCACCAGGGTTTGCTGGATTGGAAACAGAGGAGGAGGAGGGAGTGAGATTGCCTCTCTTGCAACCCTGACCCACTGGATCAGCTCCTGAGCCACTGAGACTGCCAGGAAATGTGCAGGTTATCCAAGAAACACTGCAAATGGTAGAGGCATGGCACAAGTGCTCCCATTTGCAAAATACTTTCATTATGTGTGTTCTCTTTCCAATAGGAAAGAGAAAAAAAAAATAAAAAAAAAGAGAAGGAATTATTTTGCCTCCAATTTTAATTGGCCTGTAGGAAAATAAGGTTAAAAAGTATAAAAAAAACCCCCTTACATGTCAGACAAATAGTATTGAAAGAACAGAAGAGAGGGCTCAGCCCTGGATGTATGCTTACACCTATGCTGTGAAGTTAAGACAACCTACAATAAAAAAAAACAATAAAGCAAGGAAATACTTTGTGTTAATGAAGTAAGAAAATGTACTGCTTGGAATGGGAAAAAACCATCCCAGAGATTGAATATGTGCAGTTTATCACTGGATTCTCCTTCTGACAGGCAAGCAGTGACTTATCAGAGGTATCCTCACCACTGGGTCACGAGCCTCTGTAACAAAGTTCTCAACAGATATCCTGCAACTGTTGTGTCACACACACCTGCAAGCACCCAGATCCCTGAGATCTTCAAGGATTTGGGCTCCAGGAGCACAGCACAGTAAGAAAAGGCACAGTATCCTGCAGTTGTTGTGTCACATACACCTGCAAGCACCCAGATCCCTGAGATCTTCAGGGATTTGGGCTCCAGGAGCACAGCACAGTAAGAAAAGGCACAGTATCCTGCAGTTGTTGTGTCACATACACCTGCAAGCACTCACACCTGAGATCTTCAGGGATTTGGGCTCCAGGAGCACAGCACAGGAAGAAAAGGCAGAGTAACTGTGAATTTTAAAAGTGGAGAACTCTCCCTAGGTTTCAGGCTTCTCTTCAGTCAGACAGAATTCACACCACAGGATCCCACTGACAGAAACAGAGGCCCAAACGCTTTTAAAAGAATTGTGAATTATGCTTTGGGTCTTTATTTTGTTGGCCTTTCCTGTTACAGATATTCACACCTCGTTGGTCACATATTACAGAAGTGAAATTAAACATCTATGTTTATTTCTTGCCATGGTTTCCAGACTCCTTTGATTTTTCTCCTCCACAGGCAGATACTTCTAACTTTCATTAAACAATAATCTATATTTAAGTATCATTCAATATTTCAGAGTTTAGCAGAAAATACAAGCCATTAAGACTACCTCTTGATACTCCTGATAAAAGATCCTGACTTGTCTACTGCTCAGCATGTGTGGAAGCTTGGCCAGCAGCAAAAAAAACATCCTTTTCCCAGCTAGGGAGACATCATGCTGAAGTTTCATGCTCCTGAATTTGAATTGGATACGAAGGGAAACTCTGAGGTTCAGGACTGCCCACATATTGCTGCTCTTTCATGCTGCTCGTATTTAACACGAGGATTTTTTCCCCTCAATTAAAAAGAGACTCAAGAACCACAGGTGTTCAGAAAGTTGGCTTAGAACAACAGTAAACACGATTCACTGGAATTAAAGACTGAGAGTGAGGGATTATAGTATCAAAGCTTCGTTTTTTTATCCTGCTTGTACAAGTGTCTTCAAGCAGCTTGGGATGCCTCTGAATCACCAACAGATGAAAAACTAACATAGAAATACTTGTGGTAGTGGCTGTTCTATATATGACAGGGGCTTCCCTTGCTTTCGGAGCACCAGAACAGAACAAACATACTAGAACTTGTCAAAGCATTTTAATGTCTTTTAACTTTTTCTACCACACTTCGTCTTGGTCCACGCTGACACAAGACCTTGCTCCCCAGTTAAGGCATTAAACCACACACCTGCTACAGGTCCGTGGCTTTGCACAACCAAGCAGGGACCCCAAGTACAGTCACATATGTCACACGCAGTCACAAAAACACGTTTTACAAGCACTTTTCCCTTGCAGGCTCATTCCGGAGGGGCTGATGCCGCTCCAGGCGAGCCTGTCCGCCCCGGCCCGCTGCACGCCGGGCCGTGCAGACACCCCGCGGGACAAGCGGGTGTCCGCTCCGCAGCAGCCGTACCGAGCTCCCCGCGCCCTTCCGTGCCCGCTGCCGGCCCCCTTAGCCCCGGGCAAGGCCCCAGTGCCCCGCGGTGTCCCCTCAGCCCCGGGCAAGGCCCCGGTGCCCCGCGGTGCCGCTCTCACCTCCCCGTTCGCCGCCGGGCCCCTCAGCGCTCCGCCGTCCCCCGGCTCCGCACGTGCCAACAACGCGGGCTCCCATTGGGCGGCGGCGGCCCGAGCCGCTCCCCCATTGGCGGAGCGCCGGCCCGGCATGCCCGGCCCCGACATGGCGGCGGCGGCCGGCGGGGAGCGGGGCCGCACCAGCTTCCAGCGCAGGCCCGGGGCCGGCCCGCGGCCGCCCGCCCTGCCGGGCACTCGGCCCTCGGTGCGCCACGGGCAGCTGCTGCTCTCCAGCGGGCTGCCCTCCCTGGACTGTGTGCTAGGTTGGTGGGAGCGGGACTGGGACCCGGTGTTGCGCCCCCGCCGCCCTCCCCTTTGCCAGGCCCTTCCTGCCCTCCCGTAACCCCGCGGCTGCTCCCGAGGCTTCTCCTTCCTCCCCACAGTCCCGGGGGTCGCGGCGAGGGCGGGAGGGGCAGGAGGACGGGGGAGGCAGGTCGTGTATCCCAGCTGGAGCTTGCGGAGGGGCCGCGTGCCGCGGTGCCATCGCTCCGGGCAGCCTTGCGGAACTCTCCCTAAATTCACTTGGCAGCACATGGCTGGGGCCTTCCGCACTGCCACGGGGAGGGCGGCCAGGCTGGGAAAGCCGTGTGTGCTGCTGGCTTTCGGCTGGGAAAGCTGTGTGTTCAGCTGGGTTTCGACTGGGAAAGCCGTGTGTGCTACCAGGGTTTCCCCTTGGAAAGTCATGTGTGCTGCTGGGTTTCCCCTTGGAAAGCCGTGTGTCCTACCAGGGTTTCCCCTTGGAAAGCCGTGTGTGTCGTCAGAGTTTCCCCTTGAAAAGCCGTGTGTGCTACCAGGGTTTCGGCTGGGAAAGCCGTGTGTGCTGCTAGCTTTCCCCTTGGAAAGCCGTGTGTGCTACCAGAGTTTCCCCTTGAAAAGCCGTGTGTGCTACCAGGGTTTCGGCTGGGAAAGCCGTGTGTGTCGTCAGGGTTTCCCCTTGGAAAGCCGTGTCTGCTACCAGGGTTTCCCCTTGGAAAGCCGTGTGCGCTGCCAGGCTTTCCCTGGCCAGCCGTGTGCCCCGCACTAACGCGGGGCAGTGCGGGCTCTCCGCCGCGGCAGGGTTGGGATGTCTTGGGTTCTCAGTTTGTCTTTTCCGCCTTGCTCGCCACGGCTGCGTGGTTCAAGTGCCCCCTTAGATAAATTGCTCTGGTGCGACGCTGGTTTTGCTGTCAGTGTCGGGCTGTGAGATGGTCCCGTGGACTCGCTGTTGAGATTGCTGCTGTATCATCCGTGTGGTGAGCTTGGGTTGGGGGCTCATTCATTTGCTGGTGTAAACAGCGTGGTTTATCTGGTGATCCTCTAACTCTGCACACGGTTGCAGTGCATCTTTAATGTACATACATGGGACTTCTAGGTGAGAACAGCCTGATTTTAGCTTGGTTCAGTCATCCTTGGAGTACACAGAATATGCCACTTTTCTCTCTAGGGATGCTCTGTATGATTAATGGTAATGTAAAAGTTGTATCCCTTGTATAAAGGACTTTTTGCAGCTTGTATGTCATTTTGTGTGTGTGTGTCTGCACTTTCATCAGGGATTAGGATCATTGTGGAGGAAGCTCTTCCTGCTTGAGAGAGAAATATTTCATTAAGTGAGTGTAATTTGTGAATCCTTTTAATTGCATGAAAAGCAGATTTGCGTTGAATATTCCCGTTCATATTCCCTTTTAGAAACAGTGCATTTTGCACAGCATGGCTCAGAAGATGTAGACAGCTCCCATGGTGGCAGTCTCCTAAAATTCTAGGCACCTGCTAACACAATTACTGGTTTGTTATGGAAACTGAGGACACTTCCAATAAACCCAGGATCCCTTCTACATTTTCCTTGTCTTTTAAATATTTTACAATTTCCTGAGCTTACTGATATTTATACTTCACCATCAAGGAAATTCCTTGCCCCTAGGTACAAAAACTTTTGAAAGTACTCGTAAATGTCTTTTTGGGTTGTGGCATCTTTGGAAACCTAGGCTCTATGTTCCTGTGTTAAACCTGGGGTAACCTCCTAGCCCTGAAATCCCTGATTTTTGAAGGCTGAGTGGACACCAGGAAAGACTCATGCTAAGCATGCTGACTAGACTCCAGTTCCCACTGATGCCAGGCATTGTTGGAACACACCTCCAGCTGGGTGAACTGTACAGAATCACTGATTTTGAAGGCTGAGGAGGGACCTCAGGAATTTCCCCTCTGCAGCCTTAAAGCAGCCTGAGTTCAGAGCTAATTGCTCAGGGCTTTCTTTGTCCACTGGAAAATCTGCAGTGGCAGAGATTTTGCAGCACCTCTGGGTAACCCTGTCCAATGCTCAGTTTTATTTTGTAGGGAATTTTCTTTTACCTTATATCCACTGGGAACCTCCCCTGTTTCAGCTCCCATTTGTTGCTTGTTGCCCTCTCAGTGCACCTCAGTGAAGAGCTCAGCTGTTGTTGGGGAGTCTTTGTTTCTTTTTTGTTAGGGTCAGGATTAAATGTGGGAGGGGGTATTCCTTGTTGGGACTCAGATGTTTATTGGTTCTTATTCGACAGTCTCACAACCTGAGTTTTACAGCACTTCACTCTAACAAACTAAAAATGGAGCTGTATCTCTCCCTCTCTACAAGGTCTTTTAAGGATAAACTGTCCAATTGAGAAATGGCACCTAAATTATTTTTACTTTTAAGCCAATAATCAACCATGTGTGCCCCACAATGTGGACTTTTTTTATCCAAATACACAAAACCACCCAAACCATGGAGAAGAAGGTGAAGCACCAGCCTCCACCCTAAAACCTCCATCTTGCTTTATATATATATTACTATATTCTAAACCCTTAAACTCTGAGTTTTCCACCCTGTGATATTACACACTTCTTTTCAAACTCCACACCCACAACCCCAGCTCTGTCATTCCATTTTGGAAGCCTTCTCCACGGCCTCAGGTCAGTGCAGTGTTCTCTTGGGGCTCAGTGCCTGTCAGCACAGAAAGTCTGAAATCCTCAGTAACCAGGGTTCCAGCAGAGTGTCAGTAGCTTCTCCTGGGTACCACTCCAGGGCCTTCAGCTTTTCCTCTCTTCTCCAAGCTGAGCAAGCCCACTTCCTTCAGCCTCTTCTCCTGAATCTGTTGCCCCATTTTCATTCTCTTCCCTGGATTCACTTCAGTTTAATCTTTCTTGAATGGAGGAGCTCAAAGTCATCTGGGCCTCGTATTCCAGATGTGATCTGAGTAAAGGGGAGCATCCTTCGAGCATCTGACTGAGCCTCTGATGGTGCTGATGCCTTGAGAAGGCTGAGCTAAAGCAGAGGATGGACAGAGTTCCAGAATAAATCAGGGATTCATTCCAAGGATCTCCTCCATGGATCCACCTTGGGCAGCACAAGAGCCCAGCCAGGGCTGCACCCAAGATGAACCCAAATGGTCCCAAAATGCACGAGGAGCGCTCACGGGGTCTCTCCCTGGGATCAGCTCTGCTCCATGTGCACATTGCAGTTCAGTGTCCAATTCCAGCTCAGCCCCTGCACTCCCATCCTGCTTGTTTTTCTCTCTCCAGCCCACGGGGTTTGTGCTCTTGGGGCTGAGATTTGGATCATTTGTCCTTGGTGCCCAGCTGGAGCAGGAATTGTTTTGTCTCCCTGCTCTGTGCACAGAGCTCACCATGCCCTCATGTGAAGCCCAGACCCACACACCAAAGCAGCACAGAATGTGAGATATATAAAAGCCAAACCTGAGGCATCAGTGCAGCCCACTGTGCTGGTGACTCTACAGGTGTTGACTTGGTCTGCTTTGTGCCTTTTTTCTGGGTGTGGAAATGCTTCACGAATGTGTTGCAAAATGCTGTTTATGTTTTTCTGAAGGAATACTGGTGTTTTTCTTCTTTTGTGTTGTCCACTAGCAGTGGGCAATTTGCAATCCAATAACTGATTGTAAAAATATTCAATTTTTATTGTCACCAGGATCTGAGGGCAGTCTTTTTTTTGGTATAAATTCCCAATGGAAGTTAGCATGAACTCTTTTAGTCTGGTATTTTCATAGACATACTTTGTAACAGTCACTAGGCAGTCTTGTAGATCTCTGGCTTAGGTTTGAGTTTAACTTTGCTGTGTTCAAAATCTGTAACCCAGATACACAGTTATTTGCCAAGTATGAAAGTGCAGCCTGTGAGTGAGGGAAAGCATGGTGTTATCACACACAGGTCTAATGTGGACCTTCTGAAGAGAGGAAAAGGCAAAGACTCCAAGGAGTCTTTCACCCTGCCAGCTGATTGTTACATTGATGTGGCTCACTCTAAAGGAGTGAATTTCCTTTGGAAGAGAAGTGGTAGATAAATGCTGGATTTCAAATGCAGCGTTAGCATCAGGGCATTCTGCACTTCCAGACTTTATTTATTGATTTTATAAATGTTTATTTTTATTTTATAAATTCATACATTTTATAGTTCTAAATATTTTATATTTATTTATATAAGTTTACTTTCAAGGTTTATGGGCCATATATGCCTGATGTGTGCCAGGGCAGTTCTCTGCAATAAGCTGCAACTGTTGTGTAATGTAACCATCACATGCCTGGTATTAAATGTGTTGATTCAGGCTGCTGAAAAAAAGGTCAGGGATATGCTTTGGAAACAATCTGGGCACTTCTCAGCTTGCAAAGTTTGTTGTGTTTCTCTCCATAAGGTCTTAAATCTCTCTTGTAAGTAGCAATGTGGAAAGTTACAAGTTTTGCTTATATCTTTATAAACTGTACTGCCTTAGATACTGGCAAAGAAAAATGAAAATAGTGAGATTAGGAAGAATGACAAGTTCACAGCAGCTTTCTTGGGAAACTTATAGATTTTGCTTCTTCCTTTTGATTCCATTAGCATTCCTGCTATTTTTTCCTGTTGCCTTTTGTTTAATTTACTGGTGTTGTTGCTCATTGTAATATGAAGATGTAACCATGGTAACTGCAATAGTTTTGCATTTTCTCTAATAGAAGACATTTGTTCAAACCACTCAATGATAAAGTACAGATCTAAGTTTGCCTTTAGCATCCAGGGTATGTGCACATATATTACAGCTCTGGTAGAAGAGTACCATTGATGATCTGAAAATGCAGCTTGAGAGAATTTTGGCTGCACTGTTTGACAAACAAATTCACTGTAAAAGCAGAAGAGACACCACTTCTGTCTGGCTACAAGTGAACTTTTTTCTGACCAAGGTTTTAAAGTTCTTATTGCCATGAGCTAATACATTACTTATGGCTGCTTTAATCATATTTTCTATGTCACCCTAGGATTTGGTAAAATCTCAACATTTGGAGCTTTTCTTTCCTATGGGCTGTATAGAGCATGTGCTCATTTTAAACAACTGTTGTTAGGAACCCAAGTGTTCTGGCTGCCTGAACGATTTAAATGCAGTGCATATTGGAAGCATGCCAAACATCAGTATGATTTCAGATTTTGGTCTTTTTTTTGCTTTCCCCTGTGGTACATCTTTTGGGTTCATTTGCATTTATCTCCTGAACAAATAAATGGAACAAAAATCATTGGCTTAGGACATGGGGATTTCATGAGTGATTCTACCTTTCTGATAAACAGCAGTTAAAATTGGTTTCTTGTTTGTTTTTGTTTTTGTTTTTTTAATATCTAGAAAATGCTTAATTACCTGATCAGCTTGCTGTAGATATTGAAGCATTTGTACATCTTGACTCAGGAGTTTTGCTTGAGACATCTGCTTCTCTGTAACTATGAAATTAGTAGCTGATTAAGCACTTTCATTGCCCAGTACTGCTCAAATTGTGGTGCATGATGGCAAAGTGATCCTGTTCTGATTTTAATTCAGGTGCTGTTATGCAACAATATTAGCATTTTTTGGCCTATGGGAGAGCAATTTTCTTTTTTTCTTCCTTTTGGGTATATCAACATTACAGACAGGACAGGCATTTGTAGTCCCACTAGCAAAGCTGAAGATTGAGAAGTTGATCCAACTCATATTGGAATCAACTTCTAGTGGAGTTTATTGCGGTCTTACAAATGTACAAAATGAAAGATCCAATTCACTGGAGTCAATCTGTGCAGTCCAGAATTGACTTCTGGAGATTTGCATACTGTGCTGATGGGATTCATCAATTAGTTTGCTCCTAAGTTGCTTTTAGATCAGGACACCTTTTAAAGCAAGGTTACACCAGAATTTCCTTTTGCAGACCACAGTGCAGCTCTCTGGGACCATCTCCATTGCAGCTGAGGTGTCCTGATTTAAAAGGTGAATTGCAGACAACAATAACCAATAACTCCTGCAGTTTCCATGCAAAACACTTCAGTATGCTCATTACCTGTGGCCATCTGTACACTTCCAGAGATTTTTAGCTTTCCTGTCACAGTCTTCCGTAATTGTTAAACAAAATAGTCTGATTTCAGGTTATTCCACTGTTGTAATTGTTGGAATTCAGATTATAAACCAGTGTACTCTTTCCCAAAAATAAATATGAGTTCTTCTTTCACTGGCCTTGTAAAGGAATTCATGGAGTTGTTATGTCCAAGACCTGCTATAAAGGACTTTAATCTCTTCAGTAGTGTATGTTTTTTCATAGTGTGTGTTGTGATATTTATGGTCCCTCAGTCCAGGTTTTAATGGGTGAAAGTGTTGCTGCCATGTCAGTTTCCAGCAGTAAGATAAAAAACAAGAAAAAGGTGGAGTCAGGATTTTTCCTCGGAGACTTGAGTGGAAATTTGCTAAAATCTACTAAAATCTTAGTTGGTCACTTAGTTTATATCCTTCTTGATACAAAGGAATATCACTTGATAGCTAATATTAGTTTGATTTGGAGAATGTTTACTCACATGAGTCATCCTAGTAAAAATCTGCTGGCTCAGACCATACCTCCCCACTGTAGTGCTTGAGCATGGTTGCATAGAGCTCTGCAGGATCTTTTTAGCACAATGATGATAGTACAGTATATTGTGAAAGTAATTGTAATGTGCAGTATATAATTACATGTAATGTATAATTATTTCATAATAGAGAATTGTAGTAAGTATTGCAAAGGTAATTAAAATGTTGTTCACTTTTATATTTTTAAATTCCCCGTTATCACCTTTCTTTGACTTATAAACTAAGAAAAGTTAATTGTTCTCTAACATGGTATTAAAGTGTAGTCTTACTTTATTCTTCATTTTGTTTTGTTTCCAGGTGGAGGCGTAGCTGTTGGAACCCTTCTTCTTATTGGTTAGTATAGAATATATAGATTCTTAAAGCCATATTCTGAAGTGTTTCACTCTTTATTTTGTTCATTAAACAGCCTCTCTTTTCACTGTTTTTTGAAGTCAGACTCTAGGAAAGTATTACTCTCAGGTTCCTTCACTTTGTGTAGCCTTCAGAATGGACTGTTGTCTATCTCAGTAATTACTGGAGGTGAATCAAAATCTTAATTTTAGACAGGCTTGAGCACCCATAAAGAATACCCCAGAAATCTGTTTGAAAACAGGACATTTAGCACATTTCAGGACTTAGTAGCAGAGTGCACACATTAGTTAAGATTTTGTAAACTGCTGTTAGATTCAGACTGTAAATCATCACAAAGGGGTTTTTTAAATTTGGCTGTCTGAGGAAGACGTGCAGTGCAGAACCTCTGAATCTTTTGGTTGCCAGAATCAGCTGAGAGCAAGGTGATGGAACCTGCATTCTGTCAGGAGGTGGATGAGGCACACTGAGATGATTAAATAAATTACACCAGAATTCCCTTTACAGACCACAGTGCAGCTCTCTGGGACCGTCTCCATTGCAGCTGAGCTGTCCAGCTTTCCTTCCTGTTTGACTGAGCTGACACAAAACCAGCAGAAAAATGAAGAATTCTTGTATTAATCTCCACCCTGAAGGAGCACTTGAATCTCATAATTGAGAGCAGTGACTAGATTTCAGCCTTGCCTAGGGACAAAGCAGACTGGCACATGCCTAGGTGATTTGGGTGCTTTCAAAGGAGTTGTGCCTGTAGAGTGTTTTAAGAGCCTGCTTGTCTCTAGTGGTAGAAGCTCTTCAGAGTGTGGCTTTTCAGCCTTGAGATAGATAAAATATCCAGACCACAATGTTGTCATCCCTTTTAGAAAATGAATGAAAATTACTGGTTAAATCTATGTTTACTTTCCCTGTGGAAGACAACCATTGCTTGGGAAACTAAATTTGTATCTAGAGTTTTGGTTATGTATTTTGAATTTTACAATTCAAAAATTAGTCTTAACACTAAAGAGCCAAACAGTGGGATTTGGGGAAAACTTATTTGAAATCTCTTTTAGCCACTATTAGAATTACAGCATGTTCCTTTCTGTTGGTATAGGGTTCATGTAACCTGCACTAGAGACTGAATAAAATTTTCTGTTTGCCATTGAAGAAGATAATTGCTCTCACTATGGCTTGTTGTTATTCCAAGGCTAGTCTTTATTTCTGCACTTTATCCATTAGAGACAGTTACTGATGTGCCACTGAGTCTTAGAAAATGTTGATTTTTACATAAAGTATATAAATTAGTGTATGGTGTGGGGCAGATTAAGTAATTTGATAAGTTGTTTGCCAGAAAAAATAACTGATGTTACCTAATGCCAACAGTTTTCAGTTTGAAAGAGATTTTCAGTTTTGAAGAGCTGCAGTCTTGCTGTGGTAAAGGAAGAAGGAAAAGAAAGTTAGAACCTATTCTATTTTACATAAATCAGAGATTGTGAGGCTGGATTAATTTTGTCTTCCCATTACAATATTCACTGCCCCTTCTGGTAGACAGGCTGGGTGGCATCCAATGAATCCACTAGCAGGAAGATTGTCATTATATGGAAGTGGTGCAATATTTCACCACAAGGTGTTGTGAATGTGAAAAACAGTCATGTGGATGCTGATGGCTCAATGGAAGATTTTTCCTGAAAGGATTTTTGCCTGAACTTTGTTCCTTCTGAGTGCATACCTGGCCATACACAGTGGTAGGTTTGAATTTGCTTATCTTGTGTGTTAGTTGTGTATTTGTGATCTGACCTGAAACTTAGCCTGAGAATGTCTCTTTACATCTGGAAATGAATTTTTTCCCAAATGAGACTTACCCTATGTTATTTAGAAACAAATAATTATATACAAAAAGTCTTAAAGCAGGAACTATATTTATTCATGACTCATTAGTCTAAAAATTTGGAGATTGATTTTTAAAGTTGGTGCAGGTAACATTGGAATGGCATTGTTGGACTATCCTGTCAGCACACCAAGAAATTCTGTCATGAGATTAGTCTAGACAAGCTTAATATTATCAGGATTGAAGCTGTCAGTGATAAACCTCCTAGGAAGATCTTTCTGTGTTGTACTCCAAGTGTTACAAAAAGGTTAAATTCTTCCCCTTCCTTCAACATTCTCTAAGGTGAGAATAAATTGAATTACTTTTAGCTTAGCTCCCTTTGCAAATTAAATGCTCGTCTTCATTATTTGACTCATTATCTTGGTTAATTTAACCAAATAATAGTAGATTCAGGGTATTAAAATATTTATTTGAACTGTTGTGTTCTGAAGATGTAGTAATGGCACAGGTTACTTGATAAGACTGTAAAATATTGTTTGAAATAGAAGTGTGCAAGTTTTTTGAACTCAATTCATAATAAAGAGCATTGTGATTTTCAGTTGAGCTTAATTCTATAGTATATTCTTTTGACAGTTTTAATTATATGAAAATTAGAGAGTTGAAGCACTATTCTCATGGAAGATCCTACCTACCAGAGCAGCTTGAGACTTCCTGAGGTTTGTTCATCTAACAAGAATTAGGATTTTAACTAGTACTTTAGTTTAAAAGAAATCTTACAGTAGTGTGTCTCTAAGAAACATTCTGATGTGGAACCCCATCAAAGCAGCTTGTTCAGTATGGATGTGAGACCACATTTTGGTTTTATCTGAACCTGCTGCAGAAAATCAGCTTCCCAGGAGAGTCCCCCTTCTCAAAGCAAACACGTAAAACAAGCACACTTCTTCCTCTCTCCCCTCCAGTGTATTTCAAGCTGTTGCATGTGTGTTTTGCCAGCCCAGGAAGATATTTTGGTTTTGAATTATTTGTATTGTAATAATAATTATGTATAATATATATAATTAATATTGCATCGTACTATAGAATTAATACTATATTAATATACAATATGATAATATAGAATGATAAAATTTTGTGGGTTTTTTTAACAATTTAAAATTGTTACTTTGTTTCTAAAGGTAAGCTTTGTTAGCATTCTGCGCAGTGAGCTACAGCACCCTCGCTGGAGGTGTCCTGGGCACCCTGCAAGAACCCATTCTTGCTTACCTTTAAAAGCCCCAGATTTGACAAGGTCACTGACAGCTAAATGTTTTAAAGATTATCAGTAGGAGGGGTTTTGTTGGTAGCTGAGGTCAGTTATTAAAAGTTAAAATTCTCTGGTGAAAAGCAGGTCTGTACTTGCACATTCTAAGCCTTGAAGCAGTTTCAGCTACTTTAATTAGCTACTTTTATTTTTGTTAGGGATGCAATTTAACCTGACTGGTAAGAGCTCTCTTCACTTGTCAATATAACTGAATTTATCATCTTTTTAAAGCTGAAAAAGATAATCTCAAGAGAGGTACAAAACAGTGATTTGCTAAATATAATTCTACAAAATACCAGTTAGCAGAATTCACCTTCCTGAAGTATGGCTAAATGCCAAATATTGTAACTTATGTGTTTGACAACTCTGGTGTGGCATGTGCTAATTAAATGCAAGTGACACAAAGTATATCCCCTCAAGCTTAGTAAACGTGGACATTAGAAAAGTATCTTTAAATGGAATTTGAGATTATTAAAATAATCTCGTTTTATAACCTGCAGCAATTTAGAGAGATGTTTCATAGCTGGAGAAAGACACACCTTAGGTCACAGGACCACAATGTAGAGCTATCTATCTGGTAAAAAAATTATCAATACTGATAGGCTATGACAGGCTTTTGGCAGCTTTAGGGCAACCTGTCTAGACTTTGTAGAGAGAAAAAAAAAATAAGCCATCTGTACATTACATTGTTGCAGGCTTATTCTTTCCTCTTACAGCTCTCATCATTTTGAGCAATTATACTACAAATGACCACTGGAGTTTTTCAAAGACCTTCATGCTGCTTAATATAGTCATGTTTGAAAGTCAGGTATTATAAATACAGTATTTACAGGTATGATATTTGTTACCTTATGGTGGATTTTGTTCCGTATTTTTTATCAAAAAATTTTTAATAAAAAAGTTCCTGACTTTTTATTTGTCTTCCCGGTCTAGTCCTTATTCTGCATCCCTCTCCTGGAACATGAATGCCTCTGTGCAAAGGGAGTTTTTCCTTAAAGTCACATGATTACATATCAATAATTCTGCAATTACATTTGTTTCCTTAATTTTTAAATAAATTCTATTTTTACAGTGCCTCATGCATATCTGCTCTCTTTTGTTTTCTGTGCCCTAGATAAAAGCCTAAAGATTGTATACCTAATTCTACAAGCCATGAATTTATTTGATTTGTAGCTACAGACAGGTGTGGAGCAATGTCTCTTACGTATTTGGTAGCCTGTTGGAACCCTGGTTGCTGAGAATTTCAGACTTTCTGTGCTGGCAGGCACTGACCCCCAAGAGAGCACTGCATTGACCTAAGACTGTAGAAAAGACTTCCAAAACTGAATGATAAAAGTGATAAGTGTGTAGTTTAAATAGAAGTGTGTGATATTGCACAGTGGAAAACTTAAAGTTTTAGAATATAGTAATACATACAAAACAAGATAGAAATTTTAGGGTGGGGTCTGGTCCTTCACCTTCTCCATGGGTTTGAGTGGTTTTGTATAATTAGATTAAAAAGTCCACATTGCACATGTGTAGTTCGTTATTGGTTAAAAGTAAAAATAATTTAAGTGTCATTTCTTAATTGGACAGTTTATCCTTAAAAGACCTCGGAGAGAGAGAGAGAGAGATACAGCTCCATTTTTATTTTGTTAGAGTGAAGAACTGTAGAAGTCAGTTTGTGAGACTGTAATATAAATGAGAACTAATAAACATCTGAGTCCCAACAAGAAATTAATTTAATTTAGTCCCAACCCTAAAAAAAACACAAGCCAAGACTCCCCAGTAGCCTATACAGTGCATGCTGGAAATACCCCTAAATTGACCCTAGGAAGACCCTAGGAATTGGTCTTTATCCTTAGTGTTCAGCTACAAGGTTATATGCTGGAATTCCCTGTGATCATAGTGACAGTCCTGCTCTTTCTCCGTGACTGTTTCAGCCAGGAAAGCACGCTCATGTGGAAAGAGACCCATGGATAGCCGTCACAACAGACTGTTTTATTTATGTCCTTATCTGTAGGATCAGAAGAGCTTTTGTCCTGGAGACAATACACGTAACTTCTAGGTAAATCATCTCTTTTCCTTGTATAGTTTCACACTTCACTAGTTACTCACCTGCTGCTTAGCCGGAGAGCACTCTTTGTTCCAAAAGAATCAGAAGCTGCACAGTGCCGTGGGACTTGGGACTGCACCCAGAAAAGGTGCTGCAGCTGCAAGAGTCTGGTTTGTTTACGTGCCTTGGTAGCTGGAAGTGAAGCTCACAATGAAGGGCCAGAGGCCGAGACTAAAGATTTGGGCCAGGCTTGTCCTAGGTATTGACTAAAATTATCTGAAGTGTTAGTTTCTACATGTCCTGAGTGAAGGTAGTTCTTTTGGGTGTGGAGGAGTTTGAAAAGATAAAGGTAACAGTTGAAAATTTATCCTAGCCATTCACATGCTAAGTCCAAGCATTCTCAGGAAAGCATTTCATTCTGGGATTCTATGAAAGTGATCAGTGAGCTGCTGAAGTACCTGTGCTAAGTGATTTGTTTGTTTCTTTACAAGAAGGAAGCTGTACTCCTTTGGTTTAGAATAGTATCGTAACTATTGAAGCCAGGGTACAATGGATGCTATCAGAAAAGCCCCATATGGATGCACTTTAGATCTTTTGAATACCACAAAAGTTTAGTGACCTAGAAATGAATCAATAAAAAGCATCCTCTATCTGACAAATTGAAGAACTGAGGGATTCTTACAGAAGCATTGACTTTAACAATTCCAGATACACTGTAAAGGCTTTCTGAGACACATCTAATCCTCAGAGTACTGTAGGAGACTGTGAGGTGGTTTATATTTAGATCACTTTCCAATTCTTAATTTAATTTTTTTACTGCAAGTTTACTCTTATGAAAATCAATTTAAGAAGAAAGGAAAGGCTTATGTTAAAATGATGTGTCCTTAACATTGCATGTGTTTTTAATTTGCTTATTTGAACATTCCTTGTTTTGCATGATATATTTTGGAAGGATATGGCAGTGTAAGAGCCTCTCTAGCCCTGATATATTACAAATTAATCAGCGAGTCAACAAAATGAATTGATTGTCAATAAGTCAGTTAAAAGCTTTATATCCCTGCTCTTTGTTGCTTTATTTCTACAATACGTTTTCAACATTTCAGCATTTCAAGTAAAATTTGAGAAAAATTCTTAGCTATTACAGCTGTATTGCTTCTTAGCTTAGTTAAATAATCACCAACACATCGTATGATTTCTTGTACGTATCCATGGTTTATGGAGTTTCTCTGTGATGTTTGGCACAAGGAATTGAGTTTCTTGTGCCATTCTTTACTTTCTAAGGAATAATTAATACTAAAAATAGTTGTGTACACAGACTGAAGCTGTAGAGCTCTTGGACTAAACGAGATATTTTCTTATATTCCATTAAACGTCAGTTAAGTACATATCAACTCAGTGTTTCTGTGCCTCAGATGGTGAAGAAGGTGAACTTTAACCTGCAGTTAAAATTGAGAACCCAACATTTTTCATTCAGCAAGGATGATGTAAATGTTGCAGCTGAGGATCCTTCCAGAGTGCCTGACGAGTGTTCTTTTTCCCTTTTGTTCAAAAGGGAGAGAGATCTAACAAAATTGTCTCCCTCCAGTGACATCTGCCACAGTGATGTGATTACAGGAGAGCCTTGGTGGCTTCTTTCAGGTACCTCAGACAATTCAAAACAAAAAATTTAGAGCTCATGCTGCCACTTTCAAGAGGTCTTTGCTTCTTAAATTGAGAGCTTCATAATTGGAGATTAGCACATGGAAATCAATATAGTGTGAATAATATATTGCTGATGATAAAGCAGTAAGAATAACTGGAGAGAGCCAAGGTTTGAGGAGGCAGGAGCTGTCAGTGATCTGGACTCCAGTTACAAGGGACACTTATTCAGCACAAGGGTTTTATTTCCCTCTTGAAACAGTTTAAGATTTAAGCAGGCTACAAAGACTACTTACAAAATATGACCATAATGCTTCTTCAAAACTTAGGTAGTGTCCATTCTGCCTTTTGTTTCTGCAATGGGAGTGTTCCAGTTCTATCTGATTGAGCCTTGGCTCATACCTGGCTCTACATCCTCAGTCTCATCACTGAGTTAACAGGAAAACAGTTCTTCAGTAACACTATTAATGGCTTTGTAAGGATGCAAGAATAAACTGTATTTAATATTTAATTAAAAGCTCCAAATTCTCAAGTAAATTGCAGTTTGGAAATCCATCCTGATGAAATTTTGACAAGGAACCCAATAGTGTCACCAGTAAGATTTTGTCAGTCCTGTGCTTTTTGTGATTCATAACTGTCCATATTTGTTAGAAGACCTTTATTAAAAAAAAAAAAATTCAGTGTGTTATTGCAAGTACATTGAAGGCTAATATGGCCTCCTAAGCAGGTCAACATTATCAAAGGTAAGTTCTGTTAATGCAATCTAAGTACTTAAAACCCTAAGACTCTACAGCAAACTGCAGAGTGGCTACTACTAGTAGTAAGTGTTGTAATTATTGTATTCCCTTTGGCTTATTTGGATATGCAGTGTTATGTAATTTCCTGTTTTAGTGACTAGATTATGAAATATTTTTCTCTGTTTTGAGCCACTGCTTTAGAGTAACTTCTAGTGACTCTACTACCCCAAGTACTAAATTTAAAAGTGAAATTCAAAAAAGCAGGAAATAAATTCTGTTTTGCCTAATATCCCATGGAGGTTGGGGAATATCTCTTGGAGAACTGGGTTTTTTTCCAGTCGTTTTGAACACTGGTGATTTGAATTTCTTGTTAATCTAAACACTGAGAGTATCAGTACACATGCAAGATGTTAGTAGTGCAGCAGTGCAATGATACTTTCCTGTGATTTGTTTCCTAAGTTTTCCCATTGCTATTAGTTTTCTTTTTTCTTTATGGATATGCACTTTCCTTTTCTCCTTCATTCCATTGATTCATTTTGATTGTTGTACATGTCAAAGATATTTTTATTTTCCTCTTTACTGTTTTTTGGAAGTTGGATATGAATGACAACATTTTCATTTTCTCTCTTTGTTACTGTTTTTTTATTTTTAATTTTACTATTTCACATGTGTAGTTAGGGAACATTTTCCAAGTCACACAATGAATAGACTGAGTTTTGTTTGCTCTGTATAAAGAAATATCTCTGCATTTTTCTGCCTCAACATCCCTGTGTGTTGTCTTCCAGCTGCCAGATTGAGTTGAAAACGTGAAACCTAATGTAGCACATTTACTTTTCTCCCAAAAAACATAAAAAGCATTAACAGTGCTATTGTTGGTACTTCCTACAAATAAAGAACATCACAGGTGGTTCAGATTTCAGTTGTTTTGCACACATCCACTTGTCATACCTTGAAGTTATGCTGAGTTTTAATTGTATGAGTTCATTAGGACTTCCTGTTTCTGGTAATTCCTGCCACTTAACTTGCACCAGGGAAGCTGAAGGAAATGCTGCTCTTTCTGAAGTCAGAGTTTGTATTTTCATTTCAGTGGGCCAGTATTCACAATGCCTGCTAACAAATATTGTCTCACTGCTTAAACTGCAAATTCATGAGTCTTTTGAATTTCTTTTGATTTTGCTCTGGTTAGGTTTCAGAAAAAGCATTGCTAATTGTTTGGTTTCTTCAGTATATCCGATTGGTTTTTGTAGTTTTCATAGCTTTGGAATAAATGCAGACATAAGAATGTCTCTATTCTGAATGTTACCCCTGTATAGGTTTAGCATGCCAAATATGGATGAATTTTGAAAAGCATCAGGTAACAAATATTTAAAGCAAGTATTTAAGCACTAAGAATATAAATATTAACATAGTTCGCAATTAAGGAAATTCCATTAATCCATAAATTCAGCCATCTTAGTTGATACTGATGGGAAGTCTTGTAGGAGGCTGTATCCCATCCATATCTTAGAATCAAATGCCTGATTGAGGACTCTTCCTCTGGCTTGAAAATTTTGAAATGCAGTATTATCAAGCATTATTTTAAAAGTTTTGGAGTCCTGTTTTACCTTTGATCTCTGTTGTAAGTTCTATACTCCAGGAGATAGACCCAAAGAGACCTTTTACAGTGTTGTGAACCTATAGGTGGGCAATTTATCTAACAAAACAAAATCCAACCATTCTTGTTTTCACAGAGGAGGATAAATATGGCCTTTACTCCAATTTGTTGTTCAAGTATTTTCTCGCAGAGGGAATTGTCTGTGGACATGACCTGTTTGTTGCTTCTGCCAAAGAGCATCCTGACAACATTTTGAAGGTAAATAAGACTCATTGCTTTTGATAAGTAAAGCTGTAATGTCTTGATTAATTAATTGCATTTTAAAGTGTATATATTGTATAGCAACAAATGAACTAATCTTGGTGATTCATAAGAATGTGTTGGGAAGTACAGGAGTATGTACACTAGACAGATTTGGGAATTAAATTCAGGTCTCTACATCCCATCTATGGACAGTGGAGTTAGATCCTCCCAAGGCCAAATCAGGCTTGGAACCTGTTTATTCTTTATTTTATTTCTTTATTCCACTGGCTTAGTGGAGTGGTTTCAGAAAACCCAACTGCTTAGAGTTTCCTCCTGCCCAGGAGGAAGAGTAGTTAAGCTTCTTGCAGTATTTTGTGGTAGAAACAGCGTACAGTTTTTGTGGATATTTATTGTAGTTTCCTGTAGAAAATAAAAACATCATTGAACATCTTTACAATTTCCTTTACACTTACATTGCATTCTGACTCTTTTTTGTGCTAGGGAACTTGGTCAGCTTTGGATCAAGTCATACAGAAAGGATCCCTCCAGACTTCAGTGGACACCCAATCAAACACTGATAGTTTCTGTCATGAGAAAATTGGATAAGGGAAAAAGGCTGATCAACAGTGCAAAAAGTGCTGGAGTGTGAGGATAATCTTACAAAATTTCATTAAATATTTTATGTCTTTCTGAGGCTGCGTTTTCCTAATATCAGAAGTAACATATAATTTCCTGATTACTTCTGCATCAAGTGAAGTCTGGCTATTTCCTTAAGTGTCTTCAGAGACTATTTCTGGACAAAATGATTACTCTTCTGTTTTTCTACCTAGGGATGGTAAATTCTATGCCTTCCCTCTTGAACATTGTCTTCAGTATTCAGGAAAAAGTATATTCTTAATGAAATAGAACTGTTGTGGTTGTGAAAAATCAGTTTTTTAATGCTCCTAAACCTAAAGAAGGTTCTTTTAAGGGTGAAATTTTTTCTCACTTGTGGTTTAGAATAAAGGTTAAACAAATAGGTTAAAATTTGATTTTCAAGTACAAATTACATAGGAATGTGCTATATTTTTAATTAAGTGGTTTTAAATAACTGATAATCAACTCCTGATGATACAACATGATTGTTGCAGTTGTTTTTCTCATTGAGATTTAATTATCCAAATTAGTGTTTTTATTGCATTACATTAAATTTTCTTAAAATGGAGTGGCTAATGTACATTCTGTTTCTCTTTCATGCACTTTTGAATCAGTTTTTCAGAGCCTGTCATGTTTTTTCTGGCTCCTTTACGCCTTTATGTGATAACCAGCAGACATTGTTACATACGTCTGCCGTACACCTTGTACCACTTTGAGTTTGGGCTCAGTTAGTTTGCTGTGCCTTACCCTGCTCTGTTGTCTGATATGGAATAATTTTGCTTCTTAATTTCCAGGGGTGGACACTAGGCAGGAATGCTGCATTCCTCTGTTGTAACTCCATGGTGGTGCTGCTATAGGAGACTATAAATGGAGGGACATTGTTATCATCTTGTTTTGATTTCTGCCTCCCTTTGTGCCCTTGGGTATCCAACAATATTCTTGTCTGTGCTGTTTACTCTCACCTTGGCTGTTCAACATTTCCTTTGTTTAGCAGACAAGGCACAGCAGAGTTAATTTCTCTGATTTGTGTTGTGTCAGTGAAGTAACCTTCACCTTCAGGTCCTTCAAGAAGATCTCTCCTGTCGTAAAAATGAGCTGCTTGGGATTTGGATGACTCCACAAAGTTGGGATTTTAATATAGTCTATCTGACCATTGAATAACATGACACTTCATTTAATGAGATTAGTAATTAATTGATTTTCAGTATCTGATGGGACTGTATTCTTTACTGGATAGGTAACACAGACATGGCAGATATCAACCTGAATTACACCTTATGCTTGGGTTTTACTTTGTAAAATTCATGTATGGATTCAATACATTCCACAGCCAGTATCTAATTAGCTGGGATGTTTCATAAAGGCAGTTCATTAACTGTCCATAGTGTGTCCATATTAAATGTCCATATGGTGTGGTCAGTCTATTTGCATGTTCAGCTCTCTGCTGAGATGCCATAATTGCCCTATTCCAATTTTGTCATGTGATTGGAAGTTTCTTGAACCTATAACCAAGACAAATATTGCTGGTAGTAGGAAGGGGAAAAGACATTCTTATAGACCATAATTATCTTGAAATTGTGTATAACTAAAAGACAGGCAGAGGATAAAAAGCCCTGATCAGCTGCCTAAGATATATTATATTACCACCCACCAATTTATCCATCATCCTTTGAAAATATATTCATGCCTTTTGTAGTCAAAGCTCCTTCAGGAAACTGGCATTAAGATGTAATGCTGAAAAATTATACACCTCTGGTAAAACCTAAAGAACTATATACATACTGGGTTTTAGAAAGTATTTTAACATTGGAGAGCATTTCTGTTCACTCTGTAGTCTTCAAAAAAAGGCAACTTTTTACTCTAAGGGCATAAGTACTGGTAATGTATATAATATAAGAAATTATATGGTAACTTCTGTGACTGATCATAAAATAAAACTGCTTGCATTGGTAAATGGAAAATTTATTTAATAGTAAAATTACTTCAGGTTTGGGATTAAAATTCTACAACTGCCTAAACTGCCTATAAAATAATTTTTTACCTTTATTCCTGATTATTTTATTTAGGTTGGGAGGTAGAACTGATTCTCACAAGTTTTAATGAGAAGAGATGGCTTATTTATAGCTTACCTTGACAATAAAGATTGCTCTGTTAAATTGCTTTTGCTGTGGAGCCTGTGCAAAGTGGGATGGAGGACACCAAGCTGCCACCACCACGCTCTGTGTGCAGCCTCTGGAGGGCAGGGATGCCATCCAGGGGGACACATGAAGGTGCTGAGGGCCTGGCACAGGGTGCCCAGAAAAGAACCTTGTGGCTGCCCCATCCCTGGAAGTGTCCAAGGCCAGGCTGGATGGGGCTCTGAGGAACCTCCTAGTGGAAGGTGTCCCTGTCCATGTCAGCGGGGTTGGAATGGGATGATCTTTAATGTCCCTTCCTACACACAACATTCTGTGATTCTAGGATTTGTCTTGTAAGGAAGACTTACAGCTCATTTTTGTTCTGGAAAACAAGCCAGCATTCCCTGGAGCACTGCATTTAACCTGTGGCACCCTGGCCAGTGCTGGATCAGTGACCTTTCCATGTGGCACCTACAAGCCTGAGGTGGAAGAGTGAGAGCTCCAGAACTGCTTTCTAGAACTGTCTGCTCATCTCTTGTGGAAAACTTTGATTATTGCCTTTCAATGGAATTTTGGTTTCCAAGTGGGAATTTTGTTACAGGATACTTCTGCACTCAGCTGAGATTGCCTTTTGGAGGTTCTCATATTTTAATTTTATATTTGCTTAAGTATGTAATTTGGAGAAGACTAAAAAAGTTCTACCTTCAACAAACAGGGCAGGCCTGAAGAACAGAAAATGCTCATTTTCTCTTTTCCCACTGAAAAAGTGGAAGCAGGAAGAACCTAGCAAAATGAACTTCTATTATTTTCATCTCTTTTTATTATTATTAATTTAAAAAACAACAACAATAAAAACCACAGGGCTGCTGTATTATGGTGTGTGCAAACAATGCCTTGAAAGAAAACATAGCTGTGTGCATGGACTTTTTTTACTTCAGCAAAGTACATTCAGCCATGATGCTTATATTTTTTACCTCATGGATATGATCCTAAACGATTGTTTTCTCAAAAAGAAAGATGCAAACCTGGAAGAAATTACCAGGCTGGTGGCCAGGGCTGTCTGTTTTCAGAAAGTAATTCTAATTATTTGCTGTCTCTTTGCTGTCTGGTGTTGGGAGAGAAGCTATGTATCAATGCTAGAGGTGTTTTTTAAGTCATTTGACATTTTTAGATGCTCATAAATTAAAAGTATAATACCTCAAAAAGTAAAAATGCATGTGTAAATAGGGCTACGTTCCTATTCTTTTTTCCAAAATATATTTTCAAAATGCAGGAATTTGCTGCAGTGATTCAGCTGCTGCACACTGTTAAATGGTGTCACTTAGTACACAGAAATCCAATTACAGTTGTAGCAGAAAGGAACTTTCCTGCTACCTACCTACTATCTGAAGTCTTGTGCTAGCACAAAGATAAGGGTTGGGCCTGGCAGATGAGTTGAACAATTTAATTTCTATACTGGGTAGCTCTTGCTCATCTGTTTGCTTTTCTTACTTGCATGATGGGTGAATCTCTTTTACATTTTTCATTGTTAAAATGGAAATATTTAATTATATTGTAATGTACAGCTTTCTCTGTTATGAACTGTGTTATAGTCTTGACATAGAAGTTGTAGAGGTGTGAAAGAGACACTTGTAAAAAAAATGTCTTCTGTTTAAAAAGAATTAAATCTTCTTGAGCAGTACCCTCTCTGGAAACTCTAAAGCACAAAGTTTCATCTTTGTCAAAAGTTCAGACCAATCTAATAAAAAGATTTTCTAGAACCAGAGAAAATGAATGTTTGGCTCAAATTTCTGATTTCTTATCTGCCAATCCTTGCCTCTTCATTAAGGAAATTTCCTTTCTCATCTTCATACTGAACTTTTTAAGCACACATCTCACTTGTAGGCACTCGGTGGTGATTGGGGCTGGGGCTGATCCCTAATTGATCCCTAATTGGCTCCAGCTGTGCAGCACAGGTGAATGCTATTGAAGGTGAGGAGCCATGGAGTGCCCAGGGGTGCTGCCCAATCCCACAGGGAGCAGAGGGCACACAGCTGCACTGCATCAACAGCAGGGCACAAAAGGGGCTGAAGGACAGGAGGGGCAGAGCTTGCAGCCTCCTGAAGGGCTGGGGTGTTGCTCTGTATGGGCTGAAGCCTTCTGGAATTGTGTGGGAACACTCTGTGCCTTGTGGCCATCTGAACTGTGCCACTTACTTGGCCTTTAAAATGTGTCATAAAAGTGATAAAATCTAAGCGTCTAGGTTTCAATGTCCACAAATAG